GGGGATAATGTGTAGAAATGTCAAAGTTGTAAAATTGCATCCTGAAGATTCAGGAACTGCACAGATACAGGGAGTTTATGTTGACCTGGCAGGTCTTTGTTGCATCTGACCAGAGTTACTAAAGCCACAGAAAGGTGTATGTATGACTTAAGTCCCTCAGGAGTGCTCAAGTCTAGGAAAGCTCTTCTCCCTTCCTTTCGGTTTGACAGACTCACTAAAGGTGTGCTTTGCTACATTGAACAGGACATGCTAAGAATTCACTCATGGTCCTGACTATCTGTGCTCTAAGTTGCCTATTTAGCTTCAGCTATGCTCTGTAATGGCTCACCCAAAACCAGGTGATGGCAAGTGAAGGAACCACTTGACACTGGACAAAGGCTGCCTCCTCCCAGGGCAGAGCTATGCACTTAGAAGTGTCATCCTATTCTATCAGGCCGACTCAAAGTTTGGGAACCCTTGACGTTCAAGCTGTAGACTTGCAAAAAAGATGAGATTTTTGTACAAGGCCGGGATGGTTGACCCCATAAACACTAGTGCTCTTTAAAATGGTAGAAATGTTTACAGAGTGTCTCATGGATTCCAGTGAGAACACAAAGGTGATGTACTGAAGGTTGAGGTTGCTTAGAGTATAGATCTTAGTCTGTTAATGTGGTGATGCAAGTATACAGATGACTTTTGCAGTGGGTATATTTTCCTGGGTAGGAGATGTGATATAGGAGGTTAATTCTGTCACCTAGCTTTCCCCTGTCTTCAGCTTCCATTAGGTGGCTTGAGGCAAGAGCAATGATTCACAGCAGCAGGCAGTTACTTCACATTTTTCCATAGTAATTTGTTTTTTCTATGGCAGGGAGTTTACTTTTCCCCAGATATAACTCAAGTTGCTTGTGGCCTCAGTGCCTGTCATTCAGAGTAAAAAGATCAGTTTAACAGCCGTCTTTTGCATGAACTGAATCTCCTTGTCCCTCAACCCCAGTGTACACTGCAGTCATTCTAGATGCGGACACTTGCTAGATATTCTGCAAGGGTAAGGGAAGGAAGTCCTAGTGGGAGCATAAGCACTAGATCTGCGCTAGCATAAGTATTAGCAATAGATCTGAGTTATTGTCAGGCTAACGCAAGAAAAACTGTTCTTAAGCTTACGACCCTCTGACAGTGGTAGTGCAAGTGAGCTTCTGGCTTATAGCCATGGGATCTTAATGTGAAAATGGCTTAGGGAGAGTTGTTTGGACCTGCCTGTTTCACTCTTACCAGTGATAAGATAAAAATATCATCTTTAAGTTAACATCAGTTGAGCCAGAAAAATCAGTTCAACTTTTGCAGGTGTACCATAGAAAATGGAGGCTTACTGGAAAGGAGTTTTATGGCTTTAAAACTATGTCCCATCAGAGGTATTTTGTTGAATGATGCTGTCTGTATTCAGTGGTTGTCGTGGAAAAATAAAGTGGGTATTCATGCTGGGTTGTAAAACATGGAAGAGAAGCATGCCAATGCACTCTTCATCAAGGCTCTGAGAATATTCTGTTACCAAGGGAAATGATCTTTCATGGTTCTGCAGTACGTGAGTTCCTGATCTGGAGGCATTGCCATCTAGAGGGATTAGGAAGCACTTGACCTCTTTGATCCCTCTGTTTGTGACATGCTTTGCATGAGGAACTATTGCAGTTAGATGCCTTTTTTGAAAAAGTGTGGAATTTAATAGCTTTTTGAAGAAAGGAGTAGATCATACTTGATGAACATATTTCATGACCTTTGGCTCCAAAGTAACAATATCCTGTACATCTCATAATATCACAGGAGACCCCAGGTCTCTGAAATAGCTTGGTTTTTCTGCTCTATGTTAAAACGCTTCTTTAAGGAATACAAAATGTTTGTTCAAAACTTTCAGGTATGTAAAATAGAACTTATTTGTTGTTTACCAGGAGCAAACAGGCCAGTGGAACAAATGTTCAGTGTGATGAACGGTGTATGGAGCAAGAGGAAAAATCAGATGAGAGCAGACAAGTATTAGGGTTGTTCTTCTGCCCAAAGGGACTGGCAGTGAAACTTTTTGCCATAAGCTAATTTGAAACATTGAGACCTACTGAGAATTCCCCAGTTTAAGAAATAGATTTGGTAATTTCAGAGTAAGACACTGGCAGCTGGGAAGTGAGCACGGTGTTTTTAATAAAGTGCAATTTTTGTCTTTTGTGTATTTCATGACCTTTAAAAATATATCAGAAATATCCCTGCTTTTGATTTTTTGAAATATGGTGAATGTAATTACAGGGCTCTTGTCTAGTGCATTTTTTTCTTCTATGTGTGATGAAAGAACTATACTTGCTTGAACAACAGGGGAGTAATTATACTTCTCTCTATTTGCAAAACCCTTAACACTGTACTGGGTGCTGCTACAATGTGGACTTAGTGACAATTTTGCCTTAGTAACTCAGTGAGGAAATGACTGTGTAGTTCACAGCCATTTTACTGAGATGATCTGAAAAATAAAACACAGTTCAAAGGTTACTTTGGTATTTTTGTTTATTTACTGCATTTATTCTGTCACTGTTTAATACCCTTCAGTAGCTTAATGGCTAACTTTATACAAAAACTGCTACAAAATTCTCTTTAAGAAGAATGTATTTCCCAAATTGTAATTGCTACCATCTCTGTTCTTCACACACACACGCGAGCCTAAAAGAAACCTCCTGAACCTGAAGCGTCCCAAGTTCTACCAAAGTTCACATAATGGTTTGGATAAAAAGTGTTGTTGCTCAGCTCCACTTCTAATTTTTCTCCGTTGTTGGCTTCTGGGTTGCTGCTTAAAATCTGAGAAGCACTTCTGTAATTACTTGGTGCAGAAGCATTCATGACAACAATAGGAATAAACTTATTCTCATGCTGGTAATTTTTTTATGCCAGGTCTCTTCCTGTTTTATATAACTTTAAGAATTATTCACCTTTCCAGTTGTTCTGTAGTATCTCTTGCAGTTTTGGGTTGGTTTCTCAATCTGTAAAGCAAATCACGCTGATTACATACTGCTCACTGCTTCATTATAGTGTGAAGTGTCATCCTAAATAAATAAAATGTCATAGCTGTGGTTTCTGAGATCTTGTAGAAGCAACACAGCCTATATGACAAAAAAAGAGAAGAAAAACTATTTACTTTTATCCAGAGATTTCTTTAAAGGGCAAAATCTTCCTTCTTGTAAATTTAAGCAAAACTTGGGAAATTTTTCCAAGAAATCAGTTGCTCAAACTTTTAAAGAAAAATACTGCTTATCCATATTACTGGTAATACCCAATAACAGGAAAACTCAGAACAAGAGTTGACTGAGGAATGGTAAGTATTTTTTCTTCCAAATATTTTTGCTATGCTTACAATTAAGCATAAAAACAAATACATTGGTCAAGAAGGAAAATAACAGTTTCTGTCAACCTCCTTTACTACAGTGGATCTCTGAGGTTTAAATGAAATTACCAGCACATTTTTTCTTTCTGTGAATTAGATTGCTTTCTATAGAAATGCATAAAATTAATGATCTGTGGAAGAGATGTTCAGGCTTTTGCTCACTTTATAAAACTGCAAATACAGGTATTGGTGGAAAAATAGTTTACAAGCCTCTGTTTTCCATCTCTGCCCTTCCCTTCCCCTTCCAATGGTCTTTTACTTTTGTAATTGGAACCAATACAAAGGAAGGCTGAGGATGGTTATTGCTACTTCTAGGAGGGGCTGTCCCATGCACGTTTCCTCTAAATGGCTTCTGCCCTGTGCATCTGATACAGTCATGGAGCCGGTGGCAAGCCTGGCTTTTCTGGCATAGACTTCTCCCTCCAACTGATTTTTGCTGTACAGCGTTCTATTTTAGGTTACTGCCAACTTTGTTGATGCCTATTGTCATCTTTGCCCATAACATATGCAAAAATAGTTGTTACGAATTGTAAGTTTTTAAAGCCACTGTATTTCAAAAAGGAAAAAAAAAAAAAAAGCAATTCGAGGCTGATCTCAGTTTACATCCCAACAATGTTCTACGTTCTTATCCTGTAATGTAACAAAAGCCTTTCCTCTACAGTTTGTTCCAGCTTAGCTTGCCCACAGTCGAAGGTTTTGCCGCACTTAATGCTATGCCCCTGTCCTAGTGCTGTGTGAAAATGCTCCAAGCTGGGGCTTGAAATCCAGATCCCTCTGAGTGCTGAGGAAATTAGACTCAGTCTGAATCCAAGCTGGGTCTTTTAGATATGATGGATAGGCATACTAAGCCAAAGAGAGTGTAAACTCACCACTTTTCCCTGTGGTCCATCTCTAAATTTTGAGATTTATATTTCTTGTGGAATCTTTTTTGGTTGAAGCTTTTAATTATGAAAGACTTGTGGTCAGAAGACATGGAGTGCTCTTGCACATGAAAAACCTAATCTAAGATAAGTTCTTTTTCCACGATTTTGCAATTAGAAGGCATTGCCACAGCATTGCAATTAGAGAATACCTTGATGCAGACATTGTAAGAAAAAAGATTTGCTATTGACCATCCCTTTCTAACAGCTCTGCAGTGAATGCTGGTGCCAGGTTCTGCACAGGTAAGTTTCAGAAGAAGAGTTTTTCTTTTGAACAAAAAGAATAAGGAGAAAGACACGGTGGGACAGCAATCCCCAGACCCCTGCTGTCTCAGGAAATGTCTTGGGTGGGATATATAGCCACCTGAAACTAAGAAGGTGACTGCCTGATCAGTGCAACAAGGGGGGACTACCAGGTGATGCACACCAATGGTCTGTGGAGGGAGAGGGAAGAGAGGGAGGGAGGCTTCTTTTAAGTCTAGGGATAGTGCTTGATGCATGCTTGCTATGTAAAATGTTATTGCTGTTAGTGTAAACTCTAAATAATTTGTTTTCATTCTGTCTGTCTTCTCTCTCTTCTGGACTTGGCCGGGCCATGTACAAATCCCAATCATTCAACAGTACTGGAGAGTAGATAGTATTTACCTCAATAATGGTAGTTTCTTTTCGATTCTTTTTAACCCTCAATTCAGATGACGGTTCGAAGCCAACGCCTACCATGGAAACCCAGCCTATTTTCGATGGAGAAGGTAAGAGCATCCCTTAAAAAAACAATAATAACAAAAAAGCTACTTGCCTCTCTCTATTCCCTAGGATTTATGGCTCAGACGCTTTCTTTATTCTGCAAAGTAGAAAAGCTAGTGAATCTCATAAGTTATCCAAATTTCACAGTGCCTTTGGGACCTCAGGCATTTTCCCTAATCCTTTTACATCCTCCCCTCTTCCCTGGAATCCAACAATAACACCAGTTGACCAGATTCCTGGGGTAACCTTGGAGGAAAAGGTGTCACAGCAAAAAAAAAATGTGCATTGAGTCAGAAATGGCAGCTTCCTTTAGACTGTCCTTACCCCCTCACTCTTTCCACCCTTGTGATACCAATGCTGGGAGTTTCATAACCTCTGCAATGTGTTACAGCTTCACAAAAGGGAGGGTAGTGCTAAACCACAGCTTGTGAATGTTGACTTGAAAGAAAATTGCTGGGAGGTTTCTTTATTTAGCAATTACTTTCATTGACGCACGTACTATTTAAGCAAATGAAGTCAGTGTCCTGGGCCCACTTAATTCACGGCCCACCAAGGCAGCTTCCTTCTCAAATGGGCTAATCTTATGATTGTATTATTTTGGAGAGGGAATATGAGAGTTTAGTCTATTGGAAGCCTTGAAACAAGGATAAAATGGCTGTCATCACAAAGGGTTCAAGCCTTTTACACATAAATGTAAATACCAGTGGGGATATCGGTCCTTGGGCAGTGAATGGGCCTATTAGCAGCTGCTTAGATCTTGGTGTAGTGCATGTTTTCTACAGATTTAAACCCAAAACCATTGTAGTCAAGCTATAGGCTGAAGTCCAAACCACTGTGTGACCCACCTGAAACTGTGGACCTTAAAGCAGTGAGGGAAAGCCTGTGTGTTTTCATACTGAACTGCTGTACTTGACACTTTTTTTTTTTTTTTAAACTGGATCAAAGGCAGAAATGAAGACTACTGAGCAAGAGTAGGTGATGCTGTTGATACCTCCTGCCTTCTTGTAAAAAGAGGTGATGGGGTGGGTTTTTTTGTTGCTAAAATAAGCTTATTTAATGGCAAGATGCTGTAGTCCTGTCACTTCCATTTAGTGATCATAGGTTTGTAAGAATCTTCTTGTGAACTTTAAGAAACAAAGCAAAGCCCTCAGAGCAAAAAGCATTCTCAAATAAACAGAGGAGACTGAAGCCATGCTGACTATCTCTTGTTTATATCAAAAGAAAGTTCCTCCTGGCAGCAAGCTGATGTTGTATTAAATTGCTGTTTGTAATCACAGCATGCTTCTGGCCTTTAAGTTTTCCCCTGAGAGGGTGCCCGTAGATATTCAACGGAAAGAATGCACTAGTAAAATGCAGGAGTGACCTGATCTGGTTAATAGAGCCTGTTCAGAAGCTCCTTCTACGAGAAACTCAGCATTTTGGTCATTCAAATAGAACTGGGCAAACTTCTTGAGAAATGGTGTAGTGAACAGACCTTTTCTGGTGACAGGCAGGGTCTGAAAAAAAATCTTGTCCTATCTTCTATGAAAAACATTTTCAATCAAAAGCCTTCACTTTGATTTGTAGGTGAAATCAAGTCTGATAAATGGGCTTGGACTGTATGATGAAAGATTGCCTCTCACAAATCTTGCAATATATTATGCAAGACCTTATCTCCTAGGCTTCTATAGAGAACAACTAACGCAATGGCTTCCTGTTGTATTAGCAGTGTCCCTTATGACTTGGGAGAAGAGAATACGAGTGTGACAGGCAGGTTAATCAAGCTATGCATAGATGAATAACCTCTGCCAAGTTTGTCACTCTGTATTTTTGTCATCCCTGTTAGTACAATAGGACTAACTAGATTTCAGTGGTTGTTGTAGTGATAAGCATAAGAAGATCCATTCTGGGTCTGACCAAAAGTTTGTATATCCACTACCTTTGAGTGTACTGTCTTCAACAGTGGCTTAAAGTGGGTACATCAGGAAGAGTGTAAGAAGCGTTTAGCCTGGAGAAGACTTGAAGGTGACCTAATAGCAGCCTTCTGATACCTACAGGGAGGTTTATCAAGAAGATGGAGCCAGGCTTTTCACAGTAATGCATGATGAGAGACAACAGTCATAAAGTGAAACAAAATGTTTGGACTGGATATAAGGAAAAACTTAGTCACCATGAGGACAATGAAGCAGTGCAACAGATTGCTCAGAAAGGTGATATTCTGTCCTTCCTTTCTGAGCTAGTCGGATAAAACCATGAGCAACCTGGTCTGTTCTTATAGCTGACCCTGTCTGGAGCAGAAGGTGGGACTAGACACCTCAGGATGTCATCCTGAACAATCCCTTGATTCTATCTGAGCAAACATGTCATGATACTTCACTAGAATACTCTCCCAGTGTGTTAGGTAGGTCTTCCTGAGGAATAGCTTGTACTTGGTGTCTGACACAAACGTCAGATGACAGAAAAGGGCAAAACAGTTATCTATTCACATGTCAGATCTGGACTCTTCATAGATGTTCAAAGGAGTTAAAGTCCAAATCACATTCAATTTCCCTGGGTTTGAGATCTGCTGGGCTCCTGAAAACCTGTGTATTCAAAGTCAGGCAACCAGGGTGAGGTGATAGCAACATGAATGGAAAATAAAAATGTGGATTTTTTTTTCATGCTTTGTTTTTGGGTGCCTATCTTCAGTCCACAAGGGACTGACTTTTTTTCAAAGGACATTAAATACACTCAGCTGCCCCTGAAACGTGTGATACCTCTTGGACCTCAGCATCTCCAAGATGAAGGTTCACCTTTCTCATGTTTTCACCTACATTAGACGATAATGAAAATTCAAATTTTGGGCATAATAAGTTGCCTTCCCACTCCCTACCATCCTCCCTGAGGGCATAACAGAGCAGTGCCAGAGATAATGTAGATCAGATAACTTAAACTCTCCTGTCCAAGGTTTGAATCATAAAGCAGCCATCACTTTAAAAATTATTTCACTTCATTACAATGCAGATCTCAGTGATGTTTATAGCGAATCTCCTCTTAGGACAAGATTCTCCTCTGCAGAAGAGTATTTTATTAATGGTCTTTGCTGTAGTTTTAAATTAAAGAAAGTTTTATTTCCTCCTGCACTTCTAGACTGTTTTCTTTGCATCCACCCTCTATTTAGTTTCAATGTGCAAGTTGTATTCATTTCTTAAAGAATAACTTCTTTAAATATTTTCTCTTTTTTATAAACTTCACCTCTTAACTCAGTGGGAATCTACTCTTTCCACAGATCTGTTGTTCAGAGGAGCCTACGTTGTTTACCTATATTCCAAAAAATGTCCAAGTTAACTGGATGGAAACTACATTTTTATGGTAGATCCCAAAGGATTAATTTCCTTTTCTTTTCCTTTCTCCTCTTTTCCCACAACTCTTTTTCTTCGCCTTTCAACCTCACTTAAAGATATGCACCATTGTGTCTCTAAAGGCCCTGACCCATTCTTTGGCATCGATTGACTTTGTTTGTCCCTCCTTTTTTCAGCTGTAGACATACCCAGTCCATATAGCGCAGAGCCAGAGCTAAATTTTATCCCAGATTTAGGAGTTTGGATCCAGCACTTCGATTTATGGACTTTTTCTACTTCTGTGCTTCTCCCCTTCCTACCTCTCACCCAGTGTTTAATTTGATGTAGTTCTCCCCCAAAAAGGCCGAAAGTATATAGGTATATGTATTTGCAGGAGTACATCATGACTGAGTGATGATAAAATAGTGTAGTGAAACCTGCAAATAAGGCAATCTTTGTTAAGCAAAGTTTTCCTACTGCTGAAATATCAGTGTTGAACCTATATTTCCATATGAAAAAATGCCCTGAACATGATTACAATAATGCCTACAATCAATGTAGCTGAAAACATTTAAGAAGGAAAAATTCCCTTTCATTTTTCCTTCGTGCTCCTATAATGTATAATCAGTTTCTCTAGTAGTCAGCCAGCTTCTCTCTTGCTGAGCAGATCCATGTAAATGTCAACAAGGGAGCAGGAAAACTCTTGTAAAAACTTCTTAGAGGAACTTAAGACAAACTCCAGGATCTAGTGTTTAAAGAATGCTCTTGTGGAAACTGAACATTTTTCAGAAAATATCAGTTCTGAAAATGTCACTTTAGGAGCTTTAGCACATGGTATCAAGTACTGCTTTGCTCAGTTCTAATCAAATGCTGATGTTGTGTCGTTTCTGTGGCTTGGGGCAGGTTCTGCTGTGTTTTGAAGTTGATTGTAACACCTCAGAGGAGGTGCTCTAAGCACTTTTTTTTCCCCACAAATGTATGTTTGGATGTCTTGGTTGTAGTGCATCAGACGTGCTTTTCTAACCAGAACTTGTTTCTTTAACAGACTTCTTTTCAAGTCTTTCCAGAAATATCTTCATTTCTCTGCCTATTCATTTCAGATTTTGTTGTTGCTTGTTTTAGGGCACTGACTGTGGTCAGCTCTTCTTGGGCTGTTAAAGCAATATTTAAGGTCTGGATTGACTTTTTTTTAATCTGGATTTTGCATGTACTTTTAGTGGAAACCAACATATACTGTAGCACACAACATAACCTTTGAGATATCTAAGTCTTGAGGAGAAAGGCTTTAGACTTGAGAATTTGGGAAGTGGGGTGTAGAGGGAGGAAAAAAAAATGTTTTGCCAGCAGAGAGGTACTCTCTGGAACGGGAAGATAATGAGATAACCTTGTGGAAGATTTACAAATAGTGGTTCATACCTCACCAGGGGATGAGCCAATCTCTGCAAAGATGATGGATCAGTTAAGGCATGATTGTAGCAAACATCTTGTCCTCGTGAGTAACAACCATGTGTATTCACTAGTTGCTGTAGTTTCTTTAAGGCAGTTATTTTTTCTCTTTCAGAAATCACAGCACCCACCCTTTGGATTAAGCACTTGGTCATCAAAGATTCCAAACTGAACAGCTCCAGTATAAGGAATTCAGGTAATGTTCCATCTTGGGGAAAAAAAAAAAAAAAAAAAGTTTCTTTTAACTAGGCTGCAGTCCTTCACCATCTGTTCTTGTTTCGTTCTTTCTTCATTGTAGCTATCCTGTGGCTTTTCAGTGTTGCAGGACCTGAAGTGCAGGCTATAAAATAATTTCAGATAGCATCCTTTTTTGTGTCCAGAAGGCCACAGTCCATGTGTGATGAGGGATGTTTCTGTTTCCCCAAACCATAACCAGGGAACCTCTAACTTCTTCATCTGTTAATTCATCCCAGCCAGCTGTCATCTTTATTCTGTTTGCTGTTCAGCAGTCTTTCATGGATGTACAAACTGATGCATTTGGCTCTCAGATCTGGGCTGTGGTTTTGCTCTAAGCAGTTAAAAAAAATACAGAGAGGGGCTTCTTTTCTAGCAACTTCAAGATTCTTCTCTGCAGGGGATATTTTTTGATAGAAAAATGATTGGATTTTTTCACAACTGAAAGTAGGTTACTTATGTCTGGGCCTACGTGAATGTTGAGATCATTTTTGAGGGTAATAGAGTGGATGAGGGAAGACCCAAGCATAAAAACAGCAAAGAAAAGATCTTGAACATGAGTGGGAAAAGAGGGAGCAGGAAGATGTGAAGTTAGGATGTAAAACTTGAGATTGGAGATGAGGGTGAAACTGTGTGGAGTCACTGAATTCACAAGAAACTGGAAGAATCTGAAGAGCAAAGTTAGAGATTCTCAGTAAGAATTGTTTCTATCTGATATATTTTAACTGAAGTGGGAGAAAGGAAGAAGGTGAAGGGGATATCAAAAGAAGAAAATTGCCTTAAGAAGCCATGGTTTTACTTTAAGGTTTAAGTAGGAGCTGCTACTATTGCATGTATTTTATGAAACAATATATGCCTACAACAGCTGTTGGGAATAACTCCAGTCCCCAGAACAGATAAATTGTGATAGCTCAAAGTACCTCATCACCTGGTATTTCTGGATTAGCCAGAGAGCATTCATAGCACTCAGCAGTTCCCTTAACCTTCCTGTGCCACTCCTCAACTGCAGGGTGAAGGCAGTGCTAGGTTAGGTGAGATTCTCTTGCTGCAGACTGGAGAAGAGCTCTTAGTAGGAGGACATCCGTCATTGCCCAGACCCCAGTTTTAGCAACAATCTTCGGTGCCTCACCTCCTGACTGTTTTTGTAGCAGGGCAGTCGGTGTAGGAACTGCCAGTGCGAATCATCCAGAAGCTTCAGATGATGTAGGAGTATCAGCATTCTTCTTCAGGAATGTCTTTCATGGGACAACAAATGTAGCTTGTGTCTTGTGAGCTGCTGGGACAACCAATTGCAATTGAAGGTGACGGTTTAATATTAGAATCCTATGTAATGGGTCCTGCCTATTTTGGACACCAACTTTCCTTCTAATGCAGCAAACCTGGTAGCTGCAATGGAAGTAGGAGTTCCTAGATCTGGGTTCTAGGAAGCTACAAAGGGACTTGGGAGCAGGGGGGTCTTTTACTTGAGAGCCTGTCTCCCATCCTTTCTTGGGCTGACAGAGCCAAAGTAGGCTGACTTTCTGTTTGCTGTTGCTGTTGTAAAGGCAATCGATTTGTTCCAGTGTTTCCTCAGGAAGCTGCCTGATGTAAACCAGAGTTTTGTTCATGGAAAAGTTTCTTTTGAGTTTACTGTTGTCCGCTTTTTTTTTTTTTTTTTCAATTGATTCTGATGTAGTTTCTGTTATTCAAACAAGATTATTGTGGATGTATGCTACGCATCGAAAATACATGATCTTCTGGTAAATTCAAGAGTTCTGTAAGAGGTGGTTTCTACAGCAAGCTAAAAGGAGATGTGTGGTTCATCTGACTTAGCCTTACTGATTGCCCTGACAGACACTCATTTGCTGTAGGATCTCATTAAGAGACTGGGTTGCCAATTTCTAGCCCCAAATTTCCACATTAGGCCATAGAAATACACATCTGTCTTTCTTGCACTGAATTATTGATATCAAGAAATGCTGCCTTATTAAGGGCTATGGTTTAACTGATATGAGGTGTGGGTTGCTTTTGTCTGTTTCTTTCAACCAGTGAAGCCTAGTCCCCTTGTTTGGCACCTTTCATTCCTTTTATACCTTGTCATATATGTTAAAAGGCAATGTAGGGTAGGTGGGATCAAACAACAAAGAGCTGAGGAGGATAATTATAATTTAGAATCTGGTTCTTCAAATGTCTTCAAGTCTGTCTTGGCTGAAGATGATGAAACAGCTGTCATGAGATGGGCATGCAAAATTAGGGGACGTTTTTAATTGCTTTTGGCCCTTGTCAGCTTGAAATATGAATGTTTAGCACATTTCTGATTTTTTCATTTATTTTTAAAGGGTTAAGGTAAGTTTTAGTAGTGCAAGACTGGATTTTTGGTTTTGGTATTCAATCAGTTATATTGTCTCTCTGAGTTTGCACTTACTGTCTTGAAACAGATACAGCCTGGTATCCTCTTGCAGCAATTTAATGGGATCACTGAAATTAGAGGTGAGAAAAGACCTAGCAGGTCATCTAATCTACTGCCTTAGGGCTAGCGAATGTTTGTACTGTATGAAGAGTAGTGTTTTCTAGTGTGGCATAAATGCCTTAGGCAATAAAGATTTCATTTCTTCCCACAGGAAGCTGCTCTGCTCTCTGAACTCAATCTCAGGATTTTTCTTTTTGTAATATCCAGCCTAACTCTTCTTTTATTTCTGTTCTTTTTCATTAGTCTGGAGTACTTGAAAGCCTGCCCTATTCCTTGGGGTTTGTATACTGCAACACTTAACCCTGATCTCTCTCCTACCTGTGGTGGTTGTATAGCCGCGTCCTTTGCAGTGAAGTCCAGTAGATACTACTGTCAGAGGATGTGTACTGCTCTCTAATCAGCACTGACATTGGACATCTTGGAAAGCTAAGCACCATCACTGTATCAATCATGAGGAGAATTTAAGAATTGCTATATGGAGACAAACAGGCTGTCTAATTTGCTCTCATTGTCTTTGGTCAATGTTAGGCTTCAGAGTGAACCACCCACCAGCTAGCTGAGCATTGCAGAGCTGGTGACACCCCATGTTGCATATGCAGCCTGTATCCCACAAGACCTGCATTTGAAATCTGAGTGTTCCACCTTCCATTTAGAGTTGACAAACAGAAGACGTTCTCCTGAAACAGTCCTCTCTTTTGGAGCATTTGCATTTTGCTTGGCATGTGTAAATACTAATTAAGCTAGGGATCAGGAAAAGCAGAATGCTTCTAGCCTAGTGATTAGATCACTTGACTGAGAATCTATATGTCTCCAGGCATTTTGCCAGTAAATTTTTCTATGCTAAGTAAAACAGCATTGCTAGGAGGGATTGTTAGTGCTGTTACCCCAACCCACTTTAAAGAATGAAATAATGACTAGATCTCTTTGTCAGTAGGGTGAGCTGCAGGTTCAAAGCCTCTCTGCCAGAGGCAGGAACCAAAATATGAACGTGCTTTAACATCTGGACTGTTGAGTAGCAAAGTTATTGTTTTTCTACACTTACAAGCTAAGTCTTCTGTGCTTATGAATCGTAAAAGCCCAAAAGTCAGTTTTTCTTTTTGGGGCAAGTGAAAGATCTAGATCAACACAATATTTTATTTGCTGTGGCAAGATGACAAAAACATTTTTTGATGTTTGTTTTGAATTGACTTTCACCTTCCCCAAACATGCATACCCATGTGTGCACACACATGGATACCCCAGACGAAGCCCGTTGTTTAGCATTGCCCTCTGTGATGTGTCATTTCTTTTTAACACTGCCAGAGCAGGAGGCGATACAGACGGGACCTTTGCAATGGCCGTTCTCTAATCAGCATGGGCCGGAACTGTCTTTTCATTCTACTGTTACTGTTTCAGCCTCCTACTTTCCTACCTCCTCCCCCCAACCTATTGCAGCCTGGAACAGTCCAAATGATTATTCTTTTACAGTTCTTAATCTAGGGAAACACTTGATAATGTATCCCGCTTCCAAGAAAATAAATCTAATGGCTGCCTGTTTGGGAGCACCCCATCTCCACTGAGGAATCTGTGGTTGTTCCTCATTTCCAGAGTTGGGTTATCTCCAAATGCATTTGTGCTACTTAGTGATTTGGTTTTAGTTAGCAAGAGATTCCAGCCTGTATCCAGCTTATCCTGACAACCTTTAAGAAAACCACAGAGTGATGTAATGAGCTCATGCATGGAAAAATAAACAGCTCTAGAGAAACCAGCAGTAGCAGCCTCAAGTAAATATTCTGCAGGTTTTGAACATGACGTTATTTGAAAGGAAGAATGAGTAATATATTAAGGCTAGCAGTTGAAGACAGGTTTGTGTGTGCCTAGTTAAAAAAAAAAAAAAAAGGAAAAAAAAAACCCATAGCTGTTTATTTCAAAATCTTGCTTCTTGAATGGGGTCCAACTCCATGTGGCCTATTCTGTTCAGCTCTGGCACCCAAGCATCATGCAGGCATCTCATGTGACAGCTTTCCAGTGATAGAGCTTTCTGTTGTCAGGAGCTCCTAGTGGACAGAGTATAACTGTAAATGAGCTTTGAAAACAAGAATGGTGGTATTCACATTTCTTTTTGTTAATAGAATTCACTTGGAGCCCAAACTTCAGGGCTTCTCAAAGGGAGAAAGATCTTGAAAGCTGCATGTCTGTATATACTTTTGCAAGAAGTGGAAGCACACTCTGCCATCCACCCCAAAGGGAGTCTGTGTACTCTTGGGTGCAGTTTGTCTCCAGAGATCCACACAGTGAGGTGGGATGCGATTATATCAGGTATACTACCAGGACCTGAGTTCTCCGGTTTGTCTTTGTTCCTTCCTTAAGTTTTTTCCCCACTTGCAGAAAAAAAGGCAAGGAAACCCACATGGCACCCCAAAACAGCTCCTGCTTTCTAATACTCACCTAGGAAGTGATACCATTTTTCTGCATGCCTTTCTTAAGGATCAGGGCTAGTGACTGCTCGCAGGGGGAATGTACTCATGGTATGT